TATATATATATATATATATATATATATATATATATATATATATATATATATATATATATATATATATCTACTATAGCATATTTATATGCGCAATTGCTCACTTTTTTTGTTAGCCTAAATTAAGTAAGCGTTTTTAGAAAACAATAAGGGAAAACGAAGAATAATGAATGAAAAGGTTGCTGACCCATACCAAACCCTCAGTCAATGTAGCAGCACTGCACTGCGTGTCAGGCTATTTGTCAGTCGATGTATGTACTGAAGTCCCCGGCAGCAGGCTATTTGAAGTTAGGTGAGTATGACATCATCATGCTCACCTAACTCAGCAGTATAAGATATATATCTACATATATATATAATTGAAAATGATGTACACAGTTGAGGTTTTGTGAGTAAATTTTTGTAATATTGAGACTATGACAGCCGATAACCAAATTAATAGTTAAGAAAACCAATAAAAAATCAAAACAATAATTGGTACTGTTTTTAAAAAATTTTATGTTAGTTTTATTTATTAACCATTGAGAAAGAAATTCAAATCATTTATAACTCTGTTTGTGAACAAATAGTGACGAATTCTTGAATTGCTAAATTGTCTGCGTATTATACTATTGCTACTTCTACTAAATCGTTTCAGCTCAAAATGTAACGAAGGATGGTGAAAACTAACAATGTCTTATCTTTTAAGATTTTAAAAATATACATTCGATTTTGTATCACCGCTTCTTTTTCTATCATTCAAATTTGTCAATTCAAGTATCTTTAATCTTTCTTCATACAAATTATCTCTTAAAAGATTTGATTCTTGTAGCCCTGTGTTGCGTGAACTCAAGATTATCAATGTCGTACTTATAAAATGGAATTCAAACTATTTCTACATGTTCCAAATGAGGACGTACTAACAATTTGTATAGTAATTTTAATAAAAATTCATCCAAATACTTAAAAGAGTTTTCACTCTAGATTGTTTAAAATGAAAATCCTTAAATCTTTTTCTATTGTTGTTTCTCTTAAAACAGAGTTGTTCAATTTATATTCATACCTTAGAAATTATTTTTCAGAATATATATATATATATACATATATATGTATATATATATATATATATATATATATATATATATATATATATATATATATATATATATATATATATATATATATATATATATATATATACATATATATATATATATGTATATATATATATATATATATATATATATATATATATATATATATATATATATATATATATAATAAGCCAATTTCTTCAAAATCTTTCTCTTTCTCAAGAAAAAACTTATGCAACAGATTGATCCTTTTAAATTCTTTCATAGGCATGAGGAGCAGGAAAGTCGCAGAGCTTAAGCCTTTTTTTATTGATTTGTTTTTATTTTGTTTCTTGAAGGTTTTTTCAGGAGTTTTCATCAGCGTTTTGTCTTTTCATAAGTTATAGTAGAACCTTATCACAGATGGGTTTCGTCTCATCCACTACTTAATAAAAAATAGTTGAGAGTACCTGAAAGTCAGAAACAATCATTTTTCTAACTCTCTTGTAGTCAGAAACAGGGATACTTCTGATCTAACTCTCCGGAAGTCAGAAATAGAGATGTTGCTGACTCTCCTGTTCTCTCCTGTCTTCTTAAATAAGGATGTAGGGCTCTCCTGAAGTCAGAACCTCTAGGATTTTAGACTCTCCAGGGTAAGAACCAGGAATGTTTCTGACTCTCCTGTAGTCAGAACCAGGAATATTTCTGACTCTCCTGTAATCTAAAACAGGAATTTTTCTGACTACATGAGATCAATCTTAAATGTATATCAGTCTCAAAAGGTATTCTTGATAGGATAGATGATTGTTTACAGAAAATCTCTTAACTGGTTAACCAAGAAGCTATTTTTCTTTACATTTACTAAATGTATATTGCTTGTGTTTTTTTGCTTCATCAGTCAGTTCATCAACCAATTTAGACTAATTGATGTGTAAGCCTTGCATATACCAAAGAACTTTCTAAAACCTTCTAGATTGGATTCTTTTAAAACTTTTAAAAACATTCTTCTAAGTCAAAGAGTTTTCAGAATACTTTTAGAACCTTCCAATTATTGTTCAAAGCATTCCATTATTTTCCATAATATTTCAGAATATATTTGTCTGCAAAGTTCTAGAATAGTTCTAGTTCTAAAAGATTTTTAAAGTTTATGAAAAATGCTTGAATATTTGGCAGGTTTCAGAATGTTCTATAATCTTCCAAAAAGTTCTACTGTCAGATTGAAATTGAAAAACTAAAGTGCAAATATGGACTTTCTAGTAGAATCTAGGTAGAACGTGTAAGGGTTTGCTGCTAAATTGACAAAGGGTTTGAGTTGGGGCAGCAATAATTTTTTTCATTATAATTGTTTTTTCTTTTTAAAAAACTAATTATAAGAAAAGGCTTTTGTAATGACAACTTTTTTATTAAAAATTGAAAAAGTTTGATTCTTTTTAAAATGTTTTGTGACAAGTAATTTAGTTAAATAAACGAATTTTTATTACTTAAAAAAGATTTAGTTTAAGTTTTAAAAAAGCTGTAAGAATCTGTAATTATACCTTAAATAAGATGGTATTTTTTTATTTTTTCAACGTAAGGTCAGGTTTTTTTTTTCAACGTAAGGTCAGGTTATCCTGCTACTGGTAACATATAACCCAGCACAACTAGTTTCATGTCCTGCTGCCTTGTAGGATATGCTTTTATAGGCAAAGGCTAGATAAAGCCAACTTTAACTTAAAACAGCTTGACTCGGGGTTCTTGGTTGAGTAAACACAAAAGATGGTGTCTCAATAAAAATACTCATTATGGGTATACGTTAAATCCTATCCGGCTGTAGAAAGCCTCCTAGGCAAAGACTCAAGAGGTAAACAGATTTTATCTATTAACCAGCCTCGCACAAAAGCTGGATCTTCTTGACTCAATTCATCAGTTTTGCTTGTGTCTCTGTTTTTATGATTAGGCAACTCATTCTATTATCTCCTAATGAGGGTAAAGATCTAAAACTCAGTTATATGGTTTTAAGGCCGGCTGGTAGTCAGGTTTTCTAAATTCTCAATGAGGCAACAGTTTCATTAACAGCTGTAAAATATCAGAGTAATAACAGTTCTGTGTTGTGCATAGATGGTGTCCCTGTTTGGACTTTTGGTGTGCATTATTGAGGCCATATTTCGAGCCCTTTGTTACAACTTAGGGGTTAATAATACTAATGAAGCAATAGCTTGAACTATTATAAAGTGTACTGAGTACTATCTGTGCTTTGAGTTAGGTTCTTTAACAAATTCAAAAATGACTAAAGTACTAAAACTATAACACACAAAAGCCATCGTCATCACCAAGTTCTCTAATCTATCATTTACTAATGTTCGTGGTCTTTGAAGTAATTTTTTTGTTGTTGAATCTTATCTTATGCAAACCTCACCTCTCTTCTACGGTTCAGATTTATCACTTCACCTAAAGACAAAACTAAATTTTTTGCTAAGAACTTCTCATCATTATCTTCTCTTGATTCCACTAGTTGTGTTCTACCTTATATAGCTGACAGTTATATAAAGCCGTGTATAACCTGTATATATATAAACCTTATATAATTGTTCTTGTTATAGTCTTACAGAAGTGTACTCCGGACCTGACATCTATACTTTTAAAATTATTTAACACGTGCTTCTCAAAGTCTTGTTTTCCAATCTAGGAAAACAAGATTTTTTAAAATAGGGATAACTGTTATCCCTATTTAAAATAATTTGGAGAACCATCTGACTTATTGAACTACCGTCCCATTAGTCTTCTTCTTATCTGTCTATCTGTTTTATTTTGGTCTTCTCGTTCTACGGCTGGTTTTTTAATGGTAGTAATTGATAAGTTTTATCGTGCATTAAATAGATGTGGAAAGGTTAAGGTTATTGTTCTTGACATTTCTAAAGCCTTTGATAAAACTTGACATGCTGATCTTCTTCATAAGCTTTCTTCTTACTTTGTATCAGGTAACATCTTATTATTTTAATACTACTATTGGTAAGGAAGGATTATTGAATCCTTCCTTACCAATAGTAGTATAAAAGTTGTCCTCGATCCATTGCAAAACTAGCATCTGCTAAGGTAGCATCCTTTTAATGTGCTTGCTACATTCTTACTCATGATTCTATTTTTTATCTATATAAATCTCAAATCTGTTCTTGTATGGAACACTGTTGCCATATCTGGGGTGGATCTTTCAATGATGCTTTTTCTATTTTAGACAGCGTACAAAAACGTATTGTAAACATTGTTAGACCGGCTTTTGTAGTCAACCTCCAAACATTATCACATCGTTGTAATGTTGCTTCTCTTCCTCTTTTCAATAAATACTACGGTCTAAAAATGGGCACTGGTCTAAAAAGCAAGCATCTCTTATGACATCAACTAAAGTTCATTTTTGTGTTACTTGTCATTTAATTTAGTTTCACCCTTTTGTTCCAAAAAGCTTCAAAAATTCTTATTCGTCTAGTTATTTCTCAAACATTAGTTCTTTAAAATTTACTTTCTTCATCTTGTTTTCCTGATTCATATAACTTGCAATTTTTTAAGTTGTCTATTAATTGTAATCATGCTCTATAAACTTTATTTTTTCTTTTCCAGTAATTTCAAGTCTAATAGTGGTTGCTTGTAGCCTTTTTAGAAGTGAAAATGTTAGGTCAGTCAAAAAAAAAAGTTAGCAAAAATATATATATGCGCTATAATAGATGGTTAATTAAATTTTTTCTTAAAAACTTTTCATTATTTTGCTATGCTTTCTTCAATTTTCTTTTTTTTTTTTTTTTTTTTTCACTTGCTTGCTTGTTCTCAAAACTTTTTTGGAACTTAAAAAATTATGTTTATTAACTTTTTTACAATTCTTAATGGCAACATTATACCAAAACAAACAATTCTCGATGCGTTGTGAGTCAGTTTAAGGCAACCTTTTTTTATGTTTATATACACATAATATTTTTGTTTTAGGTTTTAATGCTTCATAAATTAGTGGAACTTGACATTATAAAGAGTATAGATGATCCAGTGCAGAAGTATATGCCAATCTTTTTCATTAAAAACAAATTCAACAGTAAAAACATTACTTTTAGGTAAAGATTAAATATTCTTTTTACTGTATTCCCCTCCCTCTGAATTAAACCTTCCCTTAGGTCAGAGGTGCCAATGCAATGAGGATACTCAATTTATTTCTTTTTATTAATTGTTGTTACTACCCACTCTCATCCGTTTAACTATAAAACAGGAGCCTTATAAAAGAAAAATATAATGGAGAAACAAGTTAAGTGCAGTACTACCAGGGGTGACAAGGTCTGAATCTGGACCTATCTGCTTACAAAGTATGGGCTCTATCACTACACTACTACCTTATAAGTACACCACGATAATTACTTTTATTTATTTTTTTAAGTGCGCTTGCATACAGTTTTATTTTTTATATTTATTTTTAAACTGTGTTTGATTCGTCATCATAGTAATGTAATATAAAGTAATTTAATATGAAGTGTTTTTTTTTTTTCATTTTTAATTTTCTTTTTTTTTTTATTTTTCCATCTAGGCATTTAGCATGTATGATGGCTGGTATTCAGAGAGAAGCTCCTTGTTATCCATATACAAATATTAGCACTTGTCCCTTTAATAATACTGTTATGCTTGAGAGAATACAAAAACTTTCACTTAAACTTCCACCAAAGCAAACTCCATCATACAGGTTTTTATTTTCTTTAAATATTTAACTAATGTAATAAGTTAAATAAAATGTCTGGAAACAAGTTAGATGTTTAGTTAATAATTTTCAAAATTGAATTTTCACCTTTCCACCAATAAGTTTGAACTAAAGATATTTTGTTTAGGATTGTTTTTATGGCCCTGCAGAACTGATTTGGGGCTAAATACCTATGGTACTTAAAAGACATGCATAAACTTTAAGGATCAAACAAAAAATGCTAGCTGTTTTCTGAAAAAATATATTTTGACATAATTATGAAGGGCAATTAAAGAGTATATTGAAATTATTAAAAGTTAAATAAAAAACAAACAAACAGTTAATCAAAAATATAATAGCAGCTAATAAAGAATAATTTTTTCTATAAAATACAAATTTGTTTTTTATTCGGCTGCATAAGACCATCAAGTTTAACATCACAGGGGCGTGTACAGGAAGTTTTTGGGGTAAGTCTAAAAAAATTATGCCCTCCCCCTCCCCATTTTTTTTAAGTTTTAAAAAAAAAATGGGATTGAGTGTATTTTATAAAGAAGTTTCAATAACTCTTTAAATGACTTATAACATCACTATAATGGTCAGTAAAGCTGAAAATATGATTTTTGGTAAATAAAAAAATTATTTTTTGAAAATACTCAGATGACTTAATGTTTAATCAAAGTTATAATTTTTTAAATAAAAAGTTTCTTTAGACAAAATTCAAGACCATGATATTGAAAGATAAAAATCAAATAGTAAATCAATAGTAGGCGCCAGTGTTTATAAACTTTATTTACAACAAAAATCAAACGTTTAAGGTACAACAGATGGAAGTTCATAATGACTGAAAAAGACCACGTTTTATCATGCAAAATTGTTTTTTAAAACATAATACTGTGTAAATTTTTTATATAATTTTAAAAATAACTTTTAATTATAAATAAACTTTATAAATACTTACCTAGTCAAATAAACATGTTGTAATAAATGTAAAATGCTAAATAATGTTTTTAACAAAAGGTAGCCGAGACATTTTTTAAAGCTATACTTTTATTATATTTGAACTTTATTTAAAACACAATTCAAATATATTTAAAACAAACTTGTTAAAAACTTGTTTACTATCAATAATTAACTCTTTGAAAAAAGCTAAACTATACCATTTAGACTTTATCTACAATTTTGCTTTGCAACTTCTTCTTACCATTTTTTATAACCATTTAGGTGCTTATGCAAAGAAATGATTTGTTGCTTGTAATGTTTTAGTATTGTTAAATAGTTTTAATAGTTTTAATAATTTTAATGTTTTAGTATTATTAGATAGAAGTTAATTTTTAAAATTCAGTCACTTAAGTGAAATTAAACTAAATTTTCCACTAGTTAAGCTCATTTGATAAAGTCTTTGCACAGTGTGCCAGAGATCGGCATTCCTGCCAGAGATCGGCATAAATGCTAAAAATGAGTATTTGTTTTTTTTTGTGTGCAAAATTTCAAAAGTAAATAGCCCTACAATAAAAAATCTGTAGTTTAAATATTTTCATTTTTGTTTTAAGAGTCCTGGAAAGCTTTCAAGCTCATCCATTTAAAAAAGGTTTTATTTCAAAAAAAAAAAAAGAGAGAGATAGTTCTCATAAAATTAAATATCACTTAGTAAGCGCAGTTTTCTATGAAAAATTTTATAGTTTCAATATCATGGTACATGTTTTATTTTAGAAAAAGTATAATAAAAAATTACCATTAAATACCTATCCACACTCCTATGGGAATACCTATCCACACTACTATGGGAATACCTATCCACACTCCTATGGGAATACCTATCCACACTCCTATGGGAATACCTAATTACACTCCTATGGAAATACCTATCCACACTACTATGGGAATACCTATCCACACTACTGTGGGAATACCTATCCACACTACTATGGGAATACCTATCCACGCTACTATGGGAATACCTATCCACACTACTATGGGAATACCTATCCACACTACTATGGGAATACCTATCCACACTACTATGGGAATACCATCCACACTACTATGGGAATACCTATCCACGCTACTATGGGAATACCTATCCACACTACTATGGGAATACCTATCCACACTACTATGGGAATACCATCCACACTACTATGGGAATACCTATCCACGCTACTATGGGAATACCTATCCACACTACTATGGGAATACCTATCCACACTACTATGGGAATACCTATCCACACTACTATGGAAATACCTATCCACGCTACTATGGGAATACCTATCCACACTACTATGGGAATACCTATCCACACTACTGTGGGAATACCTATCCACACTACTAAGGGAATAATTTTTTTATAGTGTCTCAATATTGTAAAAAGTTTTTCATTAAAAAGATCTTGCGCAAAGTTTATCAGGTTTTAAACATACGACTTGCTTGCCAGTTTTATTTGTCTCGATGTTCGAATTTCATTTCTCTTCAAGTTTTGGGAAACAACTTAATCAAGTCAGTTACCAGCGTTTACAGGGATCTCTGTCATAGACTTTAAATTATTTTCTAAATAATTTAACAAAAAATTGAATAAAGTAAACAGACACTTCAATATATTTGAGTTACATTACAAAATCTGGTTAAAAAAAAAAAGCTACAAACAAGCAATGCATGTTTTAGATAAACTTTTAGATAAAAATTATAAACAAGAACTAAAACTTAGGATCGGTTTTTCCTATTTTTTCTCAAAATTTACCTATATTTCATAAAAATTAAAGTATTAGACTCATGATATTTTTTACTATTTAATTGCGTCTTAGCAAGTGTTCATTTTAAAATTATCTGGTACTTTAAGTTAATTTTGTTGTCTACGGAAGACTTAAGGTTCTGAAAAAACAAAAAAGAGGAGAGCCAAAAAAATTAACATTGCTGTCGAAAGAGAGGAACTTTTTACTCAATTATTTTGAAGCTAAATAAAGGAAAATAGGTTCAACGATGCTAAGGTGCATTAGCATCTTTACTACTGTCAATTTTTAATTTATCTTTTTAAAAAGAAATCTCTATAATACTCTATTATCTCTATAATACTCTTTTCTAGTGGATTATATTCATCTCATTCTTCAAATTTACATTTTTACACCTAAAGTTGTGAAGAAAATATTAAAATCAGTGAAAGATGGTGCAGTTCATTTAACAACAATGTATACTTGAGAGGAAACATTAGCTTCAGTTGATTTTCAGAGCCTTGTTGACCATACACATATAGGTTGTTAAAAATACTCAATGAATCTGAAAAAGCTCCTAATAAATCCATTCTTGTCTTTATATATAAAGTAGGACTTGACGGTTCAACCAATCATTATACAAACAAACTCCAGAAGACAAGATAGGTATCATTTATGTAGAGAAACAATTTTTATTTTTATCTTGCATCGTTTATATTTAAGATGCAACTTTATATTGAAGAATCTGGGGAATCAAATAATGAAAAATAATTCTATACACTTTACTACCGTCCAGTACGATTTCAATATGTAAAAAAAAGTGCTGAGGTAATTACACATTAATATATTTCCTTCAAGAACTGTAATTTAAAACCAACTGCCTTTAACTCCTTTATTATAATACATAAGTTAAAATACACAATGATTGATGGGAAAGTGGCTACTATAGTTTTGCCTTGGTAATTCTTTTCATGTATGTAGTATTTGTGAACTAACCCCTTCAAATATGATCATCTAAATGTTGCTTTTTCTAAAATCTCTAATACAATTTCCACTGAGCTTGGATTGAGCACATTACATGTATGGATTATGTGCTTTAAATGCTGCCTTCATAAAAGTTATAGAATTGAACTAGGAAAGTGGCAAGTTGAGAAGAATATGCTAAAGAAATTGTTATATAAAAAAAGATTATTGTTCAATAAAAGATGGTAGATCATTAGGTTTAATTCTAGATGTACAAAAAGCAGCGGATCAGGTACAACAAATGATGAAAACACGGTACGAAAAGTATTATAAAACTATATAAAATATTACGGTACGAAAAGTATTATAAAACTTTTGCTGAAATACTTGGCTCAGATAAAAATCTGGCTCAGATAAAAATGAAATATTTTAACGTAATTCTTTGTATTTTATTGTGCAAACACCGAATTAACGCTAAAGAACTTGAAAAATATACCAAAGAAACAGCAGAGCTGTACATTTCTCTGTAGCCATGCCTAAAATTATACATAAAATTTTAACTAGTCTTGAATGCCGTCTTCTATGGATTTCTTAAAATTACTTGAGCATTTCAGGGTGACCGGAATGAGAGTGCATCAAATAGTTTAAAAATGACTTTTTCTGCCGCAGTTTCTGATAATTTAAATGAATTTATGTTGTTTTAGCAGCTATTTAAGAAGATTTGTTGGTGACAGACCCTAATTTTAGTTTAGCTGTTGAGTTAGCTGTTGGAAGTATTCCTAACGCAAATGAAGAACATGTATTTTTGTATTTATTTTGCGAAAAAAGATGTTTATCACAAGGTGGTTTAACTCGTCACCTCAATGCCAAGCACAAAGACAAGCTTATTCAGAGAGCAGAAAAGCTTGCTATAGATGATTGCTATCCAACTTAAAATAAGAACTGAATTTAAAAATTTTAAATTGACATGAATAGAGGAGGTCAATTCAGCTTATTCTTTAATAAAAAGCATAATTGAATCAACTGATGGAAAGCCTGAAAATTTTTACCCAATTTTCTACAAAATATTTTCTCAAGCATCAAGTCCTTTTGAAAATCTTCGCCATAACTGATGATAGGTGTGTATTGGTTTTTGTTTTTTTTATAATAATAAAGAGAAAAAACGTTACATAAAAGAGAATTAAAAAAGCCCCCCTCTTTTGATAGCTACAGTAAAAGGAGGGGGACCCCAACCGCCGCCGCCACCATACTCACCTAAAAAAATCCCCCTCTTTAATACCCCCTTCCCTCTTACTGTAACTATCAAAAGAGGGGGGCTTTTTTAATTCTCTTTTATGT